ACGAAGTCACAAGATTATAATAACCAATCGGATAAAAAAGAGACACACCATTTCAGATGCCTATAAACCATACTCTATGTTGTACGTTGTACAAACTCCGTTCCTGATACGCATAATTATAATGAGTAATTATATAGTATAACATCTTACAATCCTACAACAAAAAAATAATGTTTATTACCAATTTTTTACCTAATTTATCTTTCACAATTTCATTGGCGATAAACACCAATTATAATAACGAAAAGTGCCATTAAAAAATTTACAGTAACTCACATAGCTAATGTGTTTTATTACAATGACTTGATTAACAATAATAATAAATAGTACGTACCTCATTTTCTCCTTAAAATCTGCTGTTATAAAAGAATGCCTAATTTTCAATGGGCCTTTACTAATACGACATGTTGTGTCGACACTTGTTCAATATCCTTAAATCCAACCAATTCGCCATCTATATAGAATTTCACATACTTATAAATTTCTGAAAGTGTGTAGCCTATATGGTACAGTTGGTTTAGAACAAGTCCAGTGTCGATTGCATCGATTCCAAGCATTATATTATTATTTAAGAACATAACATGTGGCAGTGAAGTGTATAGTTTTAGCCAAAGGAAGGGTGTACGAATATCATGCTCTGCACCTGAAAATATATTACGTGTATACGTTTTTCGGGGAATAATCACTAGTTAAATAATGCTCATTTATACATTATTATTGCAGACTAAATTACTTGCAGAATCTGAACCGTTTTTTCTTGAGGAAAATAAGTTTCTTTAGGGCAAACGTTTCACTCGATTTGATAAAGTTTCGGTTTACCTCATAAAACTATGGTATTTATATACCTTTATGAAAATAGTAGGCTAATTTGGATCATGTTATTGAAGATTCAATCCTAATGTTACTGACAACTTATTTATCACAGGAGGCAATTTATCGTGTTCTATAGTTTGTTTTTTATCAGGAAAATCTAGTGGTTTTGAAAAATCTCAAAACTTTCAAAGACCGTTTTAGTCATATATCTCCTTTTTTATATCTTTTGCTTCAGTTAAAGAAAGTGAGCAACAAATAGTATCTATTGTGATTTGCTGATTTTGTAGATTATCTCGTTATACTAAAGTATGATTAAAGTACCAATTTTCCATCACGAGAATCACCAGAATGGATTCGCAGCATGAATACGAATTCGCAGAGGTTATGGTATAAAAATTTAGAAACTATACCTTCTTCCCTACAAGATGTTAAAATAATTTGGTAATCGGTGAGTAATTCAGAAGTTAGATAAGTGCTACTTTTTGATTTTTCTAAATATTTCAATTTATCTTGTAATCAATTTAAACTATTCGATTTAAATATTTTTTTTTTTTATAGTTTCGTCAAGACGTGTACTACTTATAAATAATAGATAATTGATATGTTTATTCTTTTATATGTTTTTACTGTTTTTTTTTTTTTTACTTTTAAACCGATTTTTATTTTATTTTGTTTTTTTTTTGATCTTTACTAATGTACTTCTCTTCGCATAATAATCTTAGAATCAATATTTGTTTAATAATGGTATGAAGTTTTAATAATATTATCACAATAGATAACTTTGATAATTAGTAGTTATCTGTATTTAATGTTGCGTATGATGTTTAAATTGGATGATGATGCTGAAATTTGTATATATTATGTGCAATTTTTAATTTTTTGAGTTAGTTTTTTTAAGTTCAAAGTTGAGATTTAGGTTAGCAACGTTAGCAAAAGAGTATAGGTTTATTTTGTAGAGTTTAAAATTTTAAATTAAGACCCTCAAATTTATGCACCATCTGCGACATTAAATGAAAATGTACGGGAGTGTTTATTGATAGGATAGATAAAACTTATTTATTGATAGAATATTTATTGATAAAATAGATAAAATTTATTTACAGATATAATAATTAACTTATTTCTTTATAAGAGAAAAAAAGCATTACATTTCTTGTGTACATAATGTGATTTAATATTTAAGTAAAACGATCATCTCACAATTTACCAAAATTTATAACCAACCACAATGAATATTCGCTATGTTCAAACAGATGGAAAAGCGCATGATTCGATAGATTCAAAGTGACTCAAAAAGTCATCATACGTCATGAAGAAAGAACCGTCATCATCAAGAGAATATTTTAGCTTTGTTGCATAACCTGGCTTCCAGATTGGATCACTATCATTCCATGCAACTATAAAAACAGAAAACCAATTATATAACTAAATGTATGAGCTTTTAGACATTTAATATCAAATTTCTTACGTTTCCATTCAGTAAAAGCCCATGGATTACGAACTTCAACCAATTGAACTTTAAATATTCCATATGGATTGAAATTAACAGCCCGAATAACGCTGTAGGCATGATTATATACTAAACCATCAGTACGAATATCAGGTTCATCAGGGGATGGTTTTGAACAAGTTCCGCAACCAAACGCGATTTGGTTTTTCTTTCTACCTAAAAGACTTTCCCAAAGAGTATCCTTTTTAGCTTGATTGCTTAATATTTCAGTGCAAGTGTAGGATGTCTTTGTTTGGCCACTCATATCCTCAAATGCTAATAAAATAATAAATAAATAAATAAATAAATCGTTCCCTACAAATTAAAAACATTCATATAATTCAATACCATTTCCCACATATCCTCCGTTAAGGTTTTCGTAGCTACCGTGAATCTTGGCATAAGCCTCTGCAAAAAAAAACATTATGTAGGATGTATTTAATTAAATAATCAATCTGAATTAACATTATTATTACAATTAGATGCAAGGACCACCGTACTTTCAAGCAGTGAAGCCCAAGTCTCACGTCGACAAGTACATTCGCTATAATATATTATAATGTTTAGTATCAATACAGAAATGTGAAACGTAAAAATTTAGACCTACTTATAATAATAATGGCCATTTTGTTTGACAATCACATTATCATCCACTATAGTACCAATCCAAAGATTTTTCTTGAAGAATACGAACCCATAAATCTATGTAGCGATTTTGACATAATTTTAAATATTTGACTTTCTAAAAATGATTACTTACAACTTTTATTGCTTACCCCATTTTTTTCGTCACGTGCAACAGCAATTGATTTAATGACACGAGGAAAGTCTTCAATCGCAGCAAGAGCTGCAATGAACCAACAATCACCAAGAGCACCTTGTCTAAGTTCACCGGGGAATGCATCATTGATAAAGAAAATTGGATCTTGGATAAAATCAGGAATACGTTTAATCTCAACAACAACCCGTTTATTTTGTTGGTTAATAGTTTCCATTTCTCCGTCTAGGATCCACTCATTGTCTGTAAATTTAATCTTCTTTGTATTACAATCAACAGATATCTAAATGTTTTAATTGAATTAAGAAAGATTCAAAGGGAATAAAACATATGAAATCTAATTAAAATTTATGAACTAGCATACCTCATTGATTAATTGCTTGAGTTTAGTGATAACATTGTTACGATCGCTATCAGTGATGATACTTTTATTGCCTTTTTGTTTATATTCATCTTTTACTTTCAAAAAAGCGTTGTCAAATTCAAACATGTTATCAATGCTTTTTATTTTTATTGATAGAAGACAATTAGCAGACAGCGTTGCTATGTTGTTCTTTTATAGTTTCAAGAGCCTATATGATATAAATAAATAATTCAAAAATATCCATATTCTCGCTATTTGCAAAATGATATCATTTTCGACAAGTAATATCTATATCGATTTGTCAAAATTATCATCCATAATGGCAACTAGAAATGGGCAAAATGCGCATTGATTATCATCCTCAATGGCAACTAAAATAATTAATATGTTATTTATCAAGAAGTAATGTAAGTTGTTTATCAAGAAGTAACGTAAGTTGTTTATCAAGAATTAACGTAAGTTGTTTATTAAGAATTAACGTAAGTTGTTTATCTTTGATGTGACAGTTAAAATTGCTTGCGTAGTATTTTCCTATTGAAACCATCCATCGTAAGGGAGAGCCAAAATACCTAAGGGTTTTGACTAACTAAGGCAAACCCAACATAATATTTTATCATTCGGAAAAATTTCGATATCATTTTAGCATTATGATATACATAATTAACTATAACGATATTCATAAAAATAATTATAATTTTAATATCTTCAGCTGAAAATTCAAAATACACATTACATCACCATGATACCGTACAGGCCCAAATTAGCTCGTGGGCGCGTTATTTTAAAAAAATTATTTTTAAAAAATAACATACGTGGTCTCGAATTAGTGGCAATGACATATTTCTGTTTCATAAATTATATATATGGGTGTTACACCAGAACTACTACTTTGTAAGTACAGTATAACCGAAGACGATAATAAACGAATGTATCATGTTCGTTTTGTATAATATTGTGCCAAAATAAATCTATACCAGGAAATCAGAATCTGATGTGGGTCCGAAGCAAAAGTATTGCACTTTGCAAAGCATGTACTGAATCTGTGGCAGGTTATGCGATTACCAAATCAAAGAGCAAATCAAAGAGAACTTTTATTTAGAAGTCAACCTGTGTGTTTATCAGAGTTATTTGCGATTTTCTGTTTTCACGAATTGTTTAAGTTACACGAGATCTTGTGATTTTATTGGCTACAATCAGCGATGGTCGACATAATAGACCTTTGCAAAAAGATGTGATGTGCGTAATTGTACGTGATTTTTATTGGCTCTAGGAACCAGACATTGCTAGAACTAGGAAATCGAGGACCGATATAAGTCCGTAACATGACAATACGTAAAAGACTATCGAATCTCATAGGCAGAAGTTTGTCTGATTGGCTAATAAATTCAATTTAATTTTACATTATTTATACAGTTTAGAGTAC